TAATTCCCCAACATACTTGTCAATCACCTTCCGTACAACACCCTTTTGCTTGTAGTAACCCTTCTCAGCCAACACTCTGCTCATAACCTTCACAACGATTCCCTCGTGCAACCAGTAATCCTTCCGGTTGATTTTTTCCTTCTTCTTCTCTTCATCCCACATCATTTCCTCCAAAGTTGATTTTCCACTACTGCTTTCTTTCCTCTTCAAATTGTTTCCAGAATTTCTTTGCCCATATTTTTCTTCATTAGCCTCTTCAAATACCACCCTTTTCTCATGTTTTTCTTTGGTCGCAAGTTGTTTAGCCAATGATGACCCAAAAGAAAACTCAATCTTAATTCCATCTTCCATATTTAGTTCCCTCGGAGGCTGAGATTGTGAAGGCAGATCAAGATCAGAAGCAGGGATAGGAAGCTGCATCATTTGCTCAGCCATTTCAATCTGTTTCCTGATCTCCTTCTCCTGTTTTTCTTCATCTGCCATATCTGACTTGATTCTCTTATTTTTCATCTTCTCCTTAAAGAGGGTTTCTGAGTCTCTGTCTATGTATGTAATGAACCATCCCTTGGGTGTTTCCTCAACCTTACATTTACCAGTTCGACCCAAGTACTTGACAAATTCAGTTAGTGTAGCCCACTCAGTAGAGTTCATATGAACATGGTGTCGATCATTTATGTATTCGTTATAAACTACTGTGGCTGCCACACGGCTGAATCTGTGACTACGCTTCATATGCTCTAGAAAAGAGCTCTCAAACTCTTCAGAATACCCCTCCACTATTCGGTGTGGATTTTGTCCGAAAATCTGCATTTGACGCTGGTGTCCTTCACTCATGCAATGGCATTTAAATCCATTCTCATCTCGGCACTGCTTCTGGCACATCTGGCAATACCACCGAAGCTTCTGCAATCCTTTTGCTTTGATTCGATTGGCAATTGCTTTAGGAGTGAGAAACTCATTCTTTCCCATCACGAATCTGGCTGTAACATTTTAGATCAAACACAAAATGTTATACTTATACATGATCATAGTCCTACCCAGGGTCTCATGAAATCTTGTTATGGGTGAGAGTACATAATAAAAAACAGCATTGACAGCATTAGACAACAGCTAAAATTCTCAAAGCGTTAAATTATATCCACGTCAAAGAATTAGATATAACAACTAATGAATATGATCGATCGACATACAATAAACAACTAATGAAGAATTTCAGATCTAACAAAATCAGTAATCAGTACTCATTACAGTTATTGAAGGGAGAGACGAAGCCACGACAAAAACAGCATTGAAACAACAACTAAAATTATCAAGCATTGAAAACAATAATTAAATTGGAGCAAGCATCCCACCAAATAATTAGATATGATGACTAAAGAACATAAATTGGATTTTGACATTCAAAGTTAAGCCTCTCATACTCGCAAAAATTCCCAAAGAAAATCATCACGTTCAATGACTTTCTCAACACGATAGGAATAATAAACATTCTCTGCCAAACCTCCATTTCAACACTTTCCCTCAGTATCCTATTCTAGTTTATTAGATCCTATTACTCGAAATACTCCTTCTACGCTTTTCAATCAAAGCATTACCAACGAAAAATGTCATTCATTTCATTAACATAAATAAAACGAGCAGAGAAAGAACACGGACCCGAGAGTGGCAGTAACAATTTCGCTGGTGGCGTACGCAGTGGCTTGTGGTGGCGACGGCAGGTACAATTGCCGGAAACCCTATATTCGGAGAAACTGAAAAAGGAATTGGTATGAGTTCAAGCCGCGCTTACGATATTACAATAATTTTTTAAATACTAATCTAATAAATAATATTTTTGAAATAAATAATTTGAATAAAATATATCTACAATATTCAATCGAAATAGATCATGATGATAATACATATATATTGTAAATTAAATGTTTGTAATAAGTATATTAAATAATATGTAAACTAAAAATTATTGCTAAAATATCAGTTATTAATATCATTGTTTATATTTTTTATTAGTAAAATCTAGAAAAATATTTTTTTAATAAATCTTTGTCCCACAAATTTATTATTTGGTTATATAAATTTTCCTAAATAAAACAACTTACAAATTTTAGTAACATGAAATTATTTCAATAATATTTTTTTAGCTTTCATTTTTATTCTTTATCCATATACATAAAAAAAAAAACGATATCATACTTTGAAAGTATATATTTATGAACTTATTATCCGGAAATATATTTTTTAAAAATGTAGTAATAACTAATAGATATAAATTTAAATGGTTAAAATATAATAAAATATAGACTGAACCGACACTAATATTTTTTTAATTAAATAATTAATTAATTAATAATAATATAATAATAATATAATAATAATAATAATAATAATAATAATAATAATAATAATAATAATAATAATAACTAATAATTAAATTATTTGAAAAATAAATCATGCAGTTTAAATACATAAAACCATATAATTCATTACTTATTGTAGCATTATAACATCTCCAATAGTATAGTGGGTTCTTATAAGAACCCACTTGGCATTCTTAAGTGAGACTTATAGTGCTACATCATATTTAAGCAATAATAATTTTTACAAATTCACTTCAATTGTAGGTTTTTAGAAGTAACTCACCGTTCAACTATTACTTTTAATTTTAATGGGACCCGCTATATCACATCAGTAATAATTACAATATATAATGAATTATTAAAATAAAATAAATAATATATTTAAATTAAAAAAAATTAAAAATAAAATTAACATTGGAAATACGATTAATATTAATTAAAATACAAAATATTAAACAACAATGATAATAAAAATAAATAGAAAAATATTACAAATATGAAATGATAAATGGATGTTAACACATAATATACTCTTTGAAACATTATGCGATATTTAACCTTTCAAAATTGTTATTATCACATCAAATTACTTCAACTGACAATTTTTTATAAGTATCATTACTCATAAGCAACTGAGACCATAAACCACTCCCATTAGAGTTGCTCTTATATGTCATTTTTTCTTCTAACAATTTAAAAAGAAAAACACTTATTAGGAACACACAATATATTTTTGCATTGAAATCCAGTTTCATAATACGAATTACTTAAATATATTTGTCTTTAGTAGAAGTAGGGAAAATATTACATCATATATAATTATATCATAAATATATTATTTAAATTGATAGCATCAATTCAAGAATAAGCAATTTACTATTATGATCAAATTAACATATTTGTTAAATATTTATATAAAAATACTGAATACTTATACCAATTTTGCAAGTATAAATACTTATTTTACCTAATCAAAATTTTATTTATACAAATTATTTTCTTAGCAAAATACTTTTAACTTTTGTTTATAATTGTATTATAAAAAATTGTATCAAATATGTTACTTTAAAAAAAATGCTAAATATTGAATTTCCTTCCATTAATTTTAATAATGTAATTTTATATTTTATCAGTAACTTACGGTAATTTTTCCGTGTATGTATGTGAAAACATTTTCAATCTACAAAATTGAATATACCTACACTAATGTAAAAAATAAATAAATAATACTACTACTAATAATAATAATATGTGATTTGCTTCAAAAATCAAATTAAACATTTAATATTTTTATTATTAGTTTTCTTAAATTTTTATGTTATACACTTATTTAAAATTTTAAATTATTTTCAGTGTTTCTTTTTTTATTTTTATATTGGACGTGAAGATATTGATATTAGTACATTATTATTTTTTAGATTCATTACATTGATTAATATAATAAAAAATTGATATCTATAATATTTTTACTTTATATAAAATCTGATTGAAAATATTTTAAGATCAAATCTAAAATAAATAATAATAACATACAAAATATGACAAAAATAGAACAATTGAAAAAAAAAGTGATTATAAAATATTTCAAAACACATTTTTACCAATAAGATAAAATTAAAATTTGAAAAAAAAATCCTAACATGTCTAAATAAAAACAAAAAACTATATTATTGAAAAAATAATAATAATTATAGAAAAACATCATTATGCCTTAATTAATTTTTGATTTTGGTGCATATAGATTGGTTCCTTATCTAGTCTCATGGATTTTAAAGATGAAAGATTTTTCTGTTTAAAAAATGTTGCAAGATTTTGTCATAGAATATTCTAGATGGCCCATAAAAGTAAAAAATCTTATAGATTTGAAAGCAAAGGTTATAAATACTAATCTGCCTAAAGCATCACACATTATTTCATCTCTAACCTTTTGACTTTTATTTTATCCATTTTTCAATTTTTCCTCCATTAAAACTCCAACTCAAGTTCTTCTTTAAACTACCAGGTAATACATCACTCTCTTCTTTGTTCAATATTTTAATTTCAAACCATCATTGTTTGGTTGTCATTGACAATTTATTTTCCATATTAGTCTATTTTCTTGCAATTTTTATTTGCTTAAAACAACCATTTTTTCGTTTATTTTCTCTATTTATCCTCTTTAGAAGAAAGTTGAAAGACCTAAAAATCAACCAATCTCGGAAGAGAGAAAAAAAGTGATGATTGAGAAGTTTATTTTCAATCAATTATACGTTTTATTTTTTCATCTTTTCAAATTTAAAATAAAGTGATTTAGTAGCAGTTAGATATAAATATAGATGGTTTAATTATAATAAAATATATGCATATTAAGTGATTTTTTAATTTCTTTATATTATTATAAAAAATTTGATATAATCTCAGTGATTAATTTTGTAATCAAACATTATTTACGGTTTAAAATATATACTTTAAATTTAGAAACATATATATTAGTAACATTATCTTTCACTATTTTCAGAATTGGGCCTTACATGGATTATGTTTATAAAATTATATAATAAAATAATTGATAAATATATTTTATTGTAATTATTGAATCTTGATATCATGTGGTTATTATATGTAGAAGAAGAAGGTAGTGCATGATTCATACCAGAAAAGATCATGTCAAATAACTCTACTTTGAAGAATTTTAATAATAATTCAAGCCAGCAAAAACGTCAAAAAATTCCAAAGAGAGGACCTGGAATAGCTGAACTCGAAAAGATACTGAGAGAACAAAAAGGAATATTCACAGAAATTTCAGAAGAAATAAGTGATGAAAATCAATATAACCTTGCTAATTTCTCATCAACAAATTCGTATAGAGAGTCCAGTCTTTCTTTACCATACTGCGAAACAATTGGAATGAGAAATCATCTCTATTCACCCTCCAAGAAGAAGGTAAATTTTATGCCAGGATTTAAGATGTGACTTTTTGAATCTTCGAATACAGTAGAAAAGTACACCAATTTTTCACTATTTGCATGCAGATGAAATATTGTTCAACTGCATCTCACGTGGAGTTTCCTTCAAACCATAGTTCATGTTATAATTACATGTCATCTTCAGGATTAGGATCAACGAAATGTCAAGTAACTTTTCTACTTTTTATCATTTAGCTACTTATGAATTATACATGTATTTTTTTAGTTGAACTTAACTAGAAAAACAAACATATCTGGTTAAGTAGGTGGTTAGCATGATTTCGCGTAACAATGATGTAATGTGAAGATTAATGTACTGTTGACAACTACTGTGTTGTAGATGGTTAGCATGATTCCGCCATCAAATTTTAGAGTTCTCTCAGCTTTTTCTGACTGCAATAGACCACACCAATCATCCATAAATGACAGCAGTAGTTTCAATTCCATCGAGGAATGTGACAGGTATAATAGCTTTTATCATCGTTAAGTTAAGACATTGATTTAGGCTTTCTCTTATTCTAATCTTTCTAGTGTTGCATCACGAGGTTCTCTTTGTCTATAGGTATGCCAAATGGGATAGAACTTTGGAACTCGGCAACAATTATAATGTTGCAGTGCATGACCAACTTCCTTTGCTGAATTTGTTTCCATGTGTTCTTTCCAAGGGGAATGTGCACCCTGTCAAAGTTATTGAAGTAAGTTGCAAGCTATTCTGCAAAGTCTGAATTCTTTACATATTTTTTTATTTTTATGTTTTGTTTCTCACTTTCAAAATTTTTTTTTGTTTTGTTTCTCACTTTCAAAATTTCATAGGATAAAATAAACTCATATCAATGTTCAGAATCAAGTGAACCAAGTCGTGTAACTTTCTATAACTTTTTAGAAGTGAAGGACTTGGAAGGGGTGACAGATAGCACAAATCCTGGATTATGTGAAACAGTAAAAGTTGGCATTGATCTCAATTTGAAGCTTTAAGTTTGAATCTCTTTGTTTGCTGAAAAAAAAAATCAATCTTGGAATTTTAATATAACTTGTTTTTTATTTTGGATTTTTTATTTTAATGTTCATATCTTTAAATTATATCTGATCCAATTGTAATTTATGAAGGAATATTGAAAACTGGTTTTAGAATCTTGTATATCTTTTGATGACAGAAAAAAGTTTATGGATGATATTAGGTAGTGTCTTAATAATTATATGTTGAGGAGATTTATTAAGTATATTTGATTTTAATTAAGTTTTGAAATTTACTGTATGAAAGAAAAGGAAGTAATTTTTATCTAGGGAGAAGAAAAGATGAAATGAAAAGAAGTAAATATATAAGAAGATAAATAGGTAAAAAATTGAATGAAAGTATATATATTATCCAGTTCAAGAGAAGAAAAGAAATATAAAAATTAATTTTTAAAGTATTTAATTTAAGTTTTTTTTTCAGAATATAGTTATATATATATATAATAATAATAATAATAATAATAATAATAATAATAATAATAATAATAATAAAAATAATAAAAGAGATTAAATTTTTCATTCTTGATAAAAAATTAATATGTAAATAGTTTCGGGTTAACCTTAATCTTGTATGATGGATGTATAAGTTTATTTTTATTTTTAATAATTAATATTAGTTTAAAAAAAAAGACAATATATATATATATATATATATATATATATATTTATATCCTAATTTTAATTTATATATATTTCAATATAGCAAGGTTTAAATGTGGTAATGGATGAATCACTTTCTCTAACTACTTATAGAAAGACTCTTAAACTGTGATCTCAAAAATCATGATTAAGAAATGAGATAAAACATGTCAACTTAATTTATTAGCATAATATATTATTTGTTAATAAATAATGCAATTATTTATTAACCCAAAGTTAGATTAATGTTGCTCTACATTCCTATTTCTATAATTCTTATTTTTTGTTTTTTTTAATAATTCTTTATCAACTAATTAACAATGTTAAGACTTTTAGACTTTTGCTTATATAAGTTTAAAAATTTAAAATGTGTTATGTTTTTTTTATGGAATTGTTGACATTTTTAAGAATGTCTTATCAACCTACACAGAGATTTTTTTAATAATTAAAATTTTGATTTCAATTCTATAAATATTACTATTTATATTTTAAACTTGCAACAAAATTATATGTTATTTTTTATTAAACATAAAGTTTATCTATAATTTATAATTATACAAAAAAGATATCTTTTATAACCGAATTTTAGTATCATTAAAAAAATATATAATCAATAATTATATTATATTATATATTTATTCATTTATTCTTTCTTACCATACATCTCTCTTAATCTTTTAATATAAAATAATAAAAACAATTTTTTTATTTCTTATTTTATTTTTTTTAACTTTATTTTACATTTATTTATGTCTAATCACTGTTACATATATAACTTTCAACGTCGGTTATATAAGGTCTTCAACGGCGGTTTTAGAACCGACGTTGTATAAGGCGACGTTGAAAGTGTAGACTTTCAACGTCGGGTATGCATAACTGACGTTGAAAGTGTAGACTTTCAATGTCGAGTATATAGAACCGACGTAGAAACGCTGAATATAAACAACACTACATTTGGGTTTTAACTACATCGGTTATGGTAAAAACCGACGTTGATATTATTATTTTCTACGTCGGTTATTGACACAACCGACGTAGAAAGTCTATTTTTTTTTTAAATGGCCGCTTTGTTTATACAGGGTATCCCAATGTTTGTATACAATACCTGCAAATTTGAATACAACCCAGGCAGACAATATACATGTATATCTTATACAAGATATAAACTAATTGAATGTGCATCCAAAAATAAAATTGTATCCAAAATTACAAATATGTATCCAACTACTTATCTAACAAATACACTAACTACTAATCTAACTAGTAAACTAACTAAACTAACTACTAAATTAATAACTAAACTTGTCTACTTCTAACTTTAACAAACTTATTGGCCCAGGTGTTTCTAATATCGTTAATGGTCTCTATGGGCAACGCTTCTCTGTCTGAAAACACCTGTTACAAGAAAAAAGATAATTTAACAGAGTATCCAATGACACAATATTTAATTTTATTGAATACTAAATTTAAGCAAACCTGATTCCATGTATCATCAGTCTTGCTAACAACAATCAGCCATATCCAGTGCATAACATAATATCCGCACTCATAAGATCCTGGTTGCCTATTACACTACAAAAAATAATATATTAATTTGACATATAAAATGAATGATATAATACATAAATATAAAATGACTTACATTAACAAAAATCCAATTTGGAGTCGTGCTTTTGCTTGTGTGTACTCTATCAATTGTATTGCAAACCTTAAATGCACTGTGCAATACAAAATATAATGAAACAATTAAGTAACAAAACAAGTAATAATTGTTTAAATTATTATAAGAATGTGTACCTGTTTACAATGTATTTAATATCTCGCATCAGTCTCTTGCCCAATGAGCGGAACCAAGCCACAACATTCTCGCTTTGGGCAAACAACCAACAACTGCCAATGATTTATGCTTACATTACAAAAAGTTAGGAGACATAGAATACACTATAAAATTTAATGCGAATAATTTCATACGCTTAAATACTTACTGATAGAAGTAAGCACCCAAGTAAACTTTCTTCCTTGACTTCATCATCCAATTTTGGATGTATATTTGAACTTCTTCTCTCTTGTTTCCTGATTTTTGTATGGATTGGGGCTCAAAAAATCCATACACATCTTGGGTGCGTTGTTGCTCCGACAATTCATTCATCATTCTAAAGTAGTCAGTTCAATGTACATTAAATATGATGATAACTTCAAATAACATAATTAGTAAATAAAAATATATACTTACATTGTCCAAAATTATAACACTGCTATGTTTAGACACTGATTGCCAACTGCTATCTCCACAGCATCGGTGTGGTCAATGTAAAGGGGAAAGTTCTTATTGTCTACCCCTAACTTATCAACATTCCACTTCACTTGAAAAGATTGAATATACAATTGTGGGACAACAGATAGTAGTTGAAAAATTGGATTTTCTGGGACATCTACTTCTTTACCTTTACTAGTTTGGGAAGTAGGAACCAGTTTAGGCAACTGGGGTGGCTTCTGAACATCCTACATAAAATAACATTGACTTGATAAATAATAAAAAATAGTACGAGACTACATATGATAATTAACAGAAAATATATGCAAACCTTTTTCAAAATAGGCCTCATTAGATGTCTAGGCCATGCAATGAAGGTCTGGAGGGTCTGTCCCTCTGTCATCACCTCGTCTGTGGGCACAGGTACAAGAGCATAAGCATCTCGAACCTCTTCAATGACCATTTTGGCCAAGTTAGGTGTTAAAGGCACACTATGAATTGTAGAGGCCCCCTCTTCAATTGAACCAACCGTCACCAATCGTGGTTCATATCCATCCTCATCAACATAAAATTCACACTGACCTGATTACACAAAAATAAGACATTAATTATTTAATATGCACATTAATTTTTGTCATGAAGATATCGTCCACACATACCTGAGTGGTCAGTGTCTGTAACAACAACAACAACCTCTTGATTAGTAACAGGAAGCTCTTCATCAGCAGTATTTGGGTCAGCACAACTACCCTTAGTGCTAACTCGTGCGACAGATGGAGGAGGAACATCCATAGGTGGGTGGGTAGGCTGTGTGACACCCATGGATGCTAGACTTGAACCAAATACACGCATCATCTCCTCCTGAACTCGTGCGATAATGGCTGGTGTCAGCGTCGCTGTCAGCTCTTCAACCATCGCTGGTCTCAGCTTCGCTGTTAGACTCTCCTCCAACTTCGCCATCTCCTGCTGGCTCAATGATGTGGTGTGGGTATGGTCTGATGATGAAGCTCCAAAATATGCTCGAATACCCACACCATCTCCAACAACACGAACACGCCCTGGGTGTTCTGGGCGTCCAATAGCAGTAGTTAAGATATCTTCACGACCACGGGGAACGAATGTTCCCTGTGTAAACTGCTCCTCTAAAGAATCCTACAATTGAGCATTATATATTGTAAAAAATATTGATGAATGACAAAGCATGGTTAATGAGGTTGAAAGAAACAAATTTGACTTACAATCCGCTCAGCAATCAAGCGGGCCTCCTCTGATGTCATTTCACCGGAGGGCTTTTGGCGAGCCCTCTTCCATTTTTGATGACGCTTTGGAGGAGATGGTGGGGAAATTTCTTCCTGGCTTACACCAGAAGAGGCTAACTCAGCTTCTCAGAGTTTAGCCTTCTCCTCCATCATGCGTTGCGTCAACAAATCATACCCCCCACGAGACAGACGGTGGGGGGCCACATTCAGCCTCTGAATCTCCTTTCCTTTTATTCGCTTCTCCTGCAACATAATATGATATTAGAATGTGCTAAATTAATAAGACAATATGGAAACATACCAAAGTGTTTAAATAGTAACATACCTCCCATTGTGGACCAGTCCTACTCTTGACAAACTGCTTCCAAGTCTCTGTTAGAATCGCGCAGCGGAATGTTCGCGTGGTCGGACAAAAACCAAGAGGGGGGGTGAATTGGTTTCTTAATAAAAATTAGGTTTTCAAAATTTTCCCCAAATTTTACCGATTAAAAACTGCGTAAATGTAAATAGAGAAGAGTAGAGAAGATTACACAGTAGGTTTATACTGGTTCGGATCAAAAGACCCTACGTCCAGTTGCTAATCACTCAAAAGAGGATTAACGCTGTCACTAAGAACAAATTGTTAAAACAGATTACAAATGAACAGATAAAGATCAGAATACACCTCTCTTAAAATCCACAAGAGATGATCAACAGCTTTCCCTGGAGACGGCACAGACACAATCCACTAAGAACTCCACTTAGTGATTCTTATCGCTTCTAGCCTCACACCAGGTTTCCAAAAGCCCTGAAGAACGGCTTTCCCTAGA